GAGGCTCAGGCCTTCTGGGGCTGTTGGGAAGTCCATTTCCCTTTGAAATAAAGAGCACAAAACCGAAAACTGAACAGTTGTTATAAGTAACTGAAGAAATGTGTCTGCTGTTTTATGATAGAGTTTCTCTGAGAGTTTCTTCTCATTTTTAAATATTCCAGTAAACCCCATTTGTCAAAAAGCTACAGGCCTTTTGGGTTGTTTTTTAATAGGTACGAGGCTATTGCTAGTTATAAACTGGATTTTTTTGGTAGAAATGCCTTCTTTCTCCTACCCAAGGCTACGAAAGGACTTGGCAGTAGGTTTAAGAACAGAGCTGTGACTGTCCATCCCAAATCTAGAGGGCTGGAGTTCATCTGCAGCCACCACCCTGGGTCTGGCTTTTCTGGACAGAAAAGGGGTGTTTTGGGGGCATTAAATGACAAGAAACTATAAAATACGATCGCTGTTTTTTAAAAAAGCAACCAGTTAAAGTTCTTGCTAGCGTCATAAGCCAAATGCGTTAAGTAGAGCATTATGTTTTAAAGCACTAATAGATATTAAGAAAAGGACACAAAAGAGGTGGGGAAACCCCATTGCTTATCTTATGACCTACTCCTGTTTATAGCTGATGTTCAGTAGAACATCACCTGTAATACCTTAGCATTTTTCTTGGGGCATGCACCTTGCTTATGGTAAGAAATTGAAAAGATGTTTTGCTTCTGAAGCATGACTTTCCGTAATCTAGACCAATGTAATTTCTTGTGAAATGCAAAAGGTGCCTAATTCAGGTGCAGGTAAAAATGGTGTATTTGCTCCACTTTACTCTTTTGGGGGGATCAGATTCACAGAATGGTTTGGGTTGGAAAGAACCTTAAGATCATCCAGTTCCAACCCCCTGACACGGGCAGGGGCAGCTTCTACTAGACCAGGTTGCTCTGAGCCCCATCCAGCCTGGGCTTGGACACTGCCAGGGATGGGGCAGCCACAGCTTCTCTGGGCAACCTGTGCCAGTGCCTCACTTCCCCATTAGGGAAGAACTTACCTCTAATATCTAATTTAATCTTCCCTCTTTCAGTTTAAAGCCATTCCCCCTTGTCCTGTCACTTTGTAAGAAGTCCCTCTCCAGCATTCTTGTAGGCCCCCTTTAGAATTAAATAACAGCACACTGACATGCCCTGTACAGGGCATTTTACTACTCAGATGCTAAACTGCTGCTCTGCCCCGTTTGTCTACCTCTGAAAGGAACAGCAGAAAAACAAATGTGAAACCTGCATCCTGTTAGCCTCTGTAGTTTACACCACACACTTGTTCTTTTTGTCCTAACCCAACTTGTCATCATTTATGTGCCTCCAGCACCTGTAGCAGAAGAGAAACAACCCAAAAACCCTACAGCTGTTAAATTAAGTGCTGGGAATTGATTTTCTTACGGATACTGTGAGATAACAGCATCCATCATGCCAACTTTCCTCCTGCAGTACTAGAAATCAAATTCTTACATTCTTACTTAAGAAATGCATCAGGCTGTTTATCACAGAATGTTATGCTGTATGTTTATCATAGAATCACAGAATCAGCTAGATTGGAAAAGACCTTCAAGATCATCAAGTCCAACTTTTACCCCAGTCTGTGTACAGCTTAAGCCTGGAATCCTGCAGCCCAGCTGGTTGTACAATAGGTGATGTCTGAGATGAGTGTCCTGCTCCTAGATTTTTAACAGCTGGAATCCATGCATGCCCTGGACAATACTGGATCCACTTCAAGTGCAATAAACAGGGTGTTGTCTCAGCATGAAAATGGGAGTTGAAGTTGCACCTGACAGCAGCATGCCCACACTGGTGCTTATGAATGCTGTCAGGCAGATGATGGCTTCCTCATGTGTAGTGGTGGTTTTAGCCCGTAGTTCATGGGTTTGAGTTTGTTTGCCAGAGCCAACATGCTGTGGCTGTCATCAGGCAGTTCCTGCAGCAGCTCTGGAGCTGGGGATTGGAAGGGCACAGGAACCAGCTCCAACAGCCTTTCCGGGCATTTACATTCCAAGGCTGGATCCAGTGTTGGTATAAATTGGCACTGACTTCCCTGGGTCTGTGTAAGCTGGCACGAGGAGGCGGTCTGGCATTGTGCTTTTGGGGGCCAGATCCTGCAAACTCTCCAGTGCTTTGGGGGCTTGCAGTGAGAGAGCTTAGGTACATGAGAGCAGCAGGACGGGGCTGTGGGTATTACTGTGATTCTTCCTGGCACCTTTCCCACTGCGTTTGCCATTCCTCAGGCTGCTCAGCATCTCTGTGCAGCCTGTGGGGAGTTACTGGTGGAGAACAGGATGGGGATGCTGGTGTTGGGGTGACCTCTCCCTGTGCCTGAAAAAAACTCATATTTGCCACCTCTGTGAGTATCTATCCCAACAGCTGGGGGATGGAGAGGTGCCAGCTTCTCCAGCAAAGGAGGAAAAAGCTGCAGCGGGGTCTGGGCAGTGCAAGAGCAAACAGGGAGCACTTGCTATGCAGGAGCTCTCACTTGGACAGTGGGCAGCAGCAGGGGAGGTTTTACCAGCGCCTGCAGTTTTAGAGGGTTTTTTTCCCTCCTTGTTTTACTTTTTTTCCTCTTTGTTTTCCCCTGACCTTGGCTTGTCCTTTATTTGAAGGCTGTGAAAGCAGGGGAGGGGAGCCTGGCCAATGTGGGGGAGCAGAAAGAGAGCTCTTCACACTGAGCCTTTTGTGTTGCAAAGTGCAAATGGCTGAGGCTGTCACTGAGATGCAAATGTGTATTTTTCCACTGATGTGAGACACTTCTTTTTTTCCAGTAAACAAGTACACAGCACTTTTTAAAGGCTGCTTCCATCCAACAAGTGTTCAAGGCCAGGTTGGAGGGGGCATGGAGCAACCTGCTCTAGTGGAAGGTGTCCCTGCCCATGGCAGGGGGGTTGGAACTGGATGTGCTTTAAGGTCTCTTTCAAACCAAACTATTCTGTGATTCCATGATTCTTAACATCTTGATGTGTCACTGCCCCCTTCGGTAATTTAAGTACATTCCCTGCCTGATTTCGCACTGCAGATTGAACCAGAGCAATTTTGCATCACTGAGGCATGGGATCACTGTAGACCCTACCCCAGATATCAAAGCATTTCAGCATTCACTGGGTCTGGAGGGGGAAAGCTCTCTTAAGAGTTATGACAACATTTACTTTAAAGCCCAGTTCTGGCCGCTGCTCTTAAGTGCCTCATTTTAGTCACCGAATCAACTCTTTGGGCGTGCAGCAGGACTTGGGTGGTGGAAAACCTGTCTGCTGTGTGGTTGGGAAATGGGGGTGGGACATGGGGACTTAGCGAGGAAGTAGCAAGCAGCAGCTTTGGAATCAGCAGGAGGAGGCACCTGAGTTCAGTCTTCCCATAAGCTGGAGCTTCTGGATCCAAGGGCTAAATTAAAGTGTACCTCCTTCAACAGAAATGACCACTCTCACTTCCCTGCAAGCACAGCTCCACTCCAGATAGGTCCCTTCCGCCCTTATATTATCTGATTTTGAAGACAGAAATTATTTCACTTCCAGCAGGGAAAGCAAAAGGGGAGGCAAACCAATAACAGCTTCCAGAGATGGAGATCTGAGCATCTCCTGTTTCCACCTAGAGCCACCCATTAGAGGACCCTGCATGTCCCCAGTAGTACGTCACAATAGCTTCTCGGCTGCTGTAAATCATGTCAGCAGGGCTGGTAAGTGCAAGCCTAGATGGCTTTGCCACCCTTGGTTCCTGCCCTGAAGAGCCACTACTACTGCTCCTGGAGGTGGTTGTGTCACAGGCTAAAGTACAGGCAGGCTCTGTTAGTGTCTGACTGATGTTACAGTCCACCATGTTGTCACCTGTAGCTGAGCTCATTTGGTTTAAAGTATACCAGGGGAAACCACATCCTAAACCCACCATCTCTCTCCCTGCCAGCTCCAACAGCAGCCAGGGTGCAGGGCCCCACCTTGCAGATGCTGGGTCTGGGGGAGATTAATGCCATAATGCAGAGCACCCACAACGTCATGCTCTGTGTCCCTCGCAGCCTCCCAGAAGAATTTAGGTTGGGAAGGACCATTGGAGGTCACTTAGTCCAAAGCCTGGCTCAAAGCAGGGTATGTATAGGGCTGCCTCTGTTTTGCATGTCTCGATGCTAGACACATGAAGCAGAGTTTAATCACCCTTGCTGTGAGTTATTTTTTCCCTTCCATCTAGTCTGAGTTTCCCTTGATGCAGGCTGGGACTGGTGTTTCTCATCCCGACGCTGGGCATGTCCATGTCAGGAGGTGGGCTACTTTTCCCTGCAGGAAAACTCCATTCACTTTTCCTCTGAACACTGGCTGTACACACAGCAGGAAGCGGCATGTCCGCTGTGACACCCCATGCGGCTCACCCAGAGCAAATCTGACCCCTCTGCAGGGACACACAGGGATTTGGGGTCGGATAAGGGGCTGGGAGAAAGTGGAGAAGCTTGAGCCTGTGAGGATTTGGAACAGGCTTTGGGAAGAGCAGGCTGAAGCCAGAAGCGGGAGCACTGGCAAGCTGTGCTAGGGACCGCACAGAAACTACCGAGTTCCTTAAAATCCCCCTCGCACCACGGTTGCTCCTCCCCATGCTGTTCCCGGACCCTTCCTCCCCGTGTAGCAGTGCCTGGCACTCCACATACCTGTTGTGCAGTGTCCCAGCTGCTCTCCGCTCCCGTCCCGCGGTCCGGAGGCGCAGGGCGGACCCGTCGGCCACCGTCGTCCCTCCGCAGCCCGGCGAGAGGCGGCTGCCCCCTCAGGAGGAGGTCTCTCCCGCGGGCTGACCGGCGGCCGGGCTCTCCCTGAAGGGGAGGGACCGAACTTTGCCTTAGTGTTCAGATGAGACAACCTGCTTGGGAGGGACCGCCGCTGGGCCTGGAAAAGTGTCGGGCATGGAGCCATCCCTGGAGATCACTGCGAGCCGCACGGGACCCCGCTGCTGGTTAGGCGCTGGGCTCTGCCTTTGCACGGCGGCGACGGGTTTATGCATGGGATTGCTGGCATGCGGCTGTGAGCTTTCCTGGCTTTCCGCCGGTGCTGCCGAGCGTGGCTGGGCAAGCACTGCGATCCCAGTGAGGAAATCCAGCCAGCCCGGTTGCAACATCCTCCGGAGGAGCTGCGACGCTTACGGGATGCTTTTGGGTGAGGAGGCCGATCCTGCAGCAGGGAAGAAAGCACTGCGCTTTGGATCAAGGTCCCTCCATAAACATCCAGATGTTTTCCTCTGGCCTCGTGAAAAGGGGATAACAACACTCCAGGGAAAACAATATTACCTTTGGGTCAACTTGAGCAGTTTAAGACGGATCAAGTGCAGGGCCCTATCGGTTAGGGGCATCTGCATTGTGCTCCCCCACTCCTTTACACAGCCCTGGCCGAGTTTAGGGAATTAACCCCCAATCAGCACCAAAAATAAAACACCAGTTTTCTGAGAGAGCAACAGGTTGATCCAGCTGATGAAACAGCCATCTGAGCTTCAAGGCCAGCAAAGGGGGGCAGCAGGGGAGGGACTGCAAGTAAAATTTGGCTTATGAAGCTGCATCCTTGAAGAACTGGTGAGCTGTGGGGGTGGGATTGTTGGTTTCTCTTCTTCCCCTTTGCATATACATGGATATGAACTGAAGCTACCACACAAAGGTGCTTGAAATTTAAGTTATATTTTTATACTATGAATTTTGTTGGGAATTCCTTGAAAAAGAACAAGAAAGTGGCATGAAAAGGTCCAAGATTATTGCTGTTTTTCCTGCACTTTTGTCCAGCAGTCATCTCAGTGATGGACTGGATGCATTAAAGCATAACATTTTCAAGATAGATTTAATGCTGATGAAAGGTCTTGAAAAACAACTCTGAAGACCTTTATTTAATCTAAAGGAACAGGTTCTTCAAGGTTAGTTTGAGACAATGAGGAGGAGATAGTGCGTAAGTGGTTAAAGCAACAGAGACATGCCAAAGCCAATGATACTTTGGTAGCCTACCGAGGAGCTCCAAAATTTACTGTATCTTTTAATATATTCAGATATTCCCTGATGTGCAGGAGTTAAACTCAGTAAATGTCATGTATGGGTCTTTGTCTTGTATCTGGGCTACACGGTCCAGCTACATAAGTCAGGGGACCTGTTTGGTGATTCCCTCTGACCTTTTTAATCTCATCCTTTTCTTACAAGAAAGCAGGGTAGAGATGGTTGTGTGTCCCTCCAGCCTGTATTTGGGATGTGGTTGGGACGTCTGTGGGAGTTGGGAGCAGGGAAATGGCCCCATCCACCTCTGGCTCCCAAGATGTAGACCCCAGGATTGCAAACCTTCCCTCACATCAGCCTCTGCAAGGTCCCATGTTGGTCCTTTCCAACATGCTGAATGTGGAAATCACACGCTTTTCAATCTGTGAAAATGACTCCATGGAGTAAATGCAATGCAAAACGCAAAACAAGGCTGTGGAGATGGGATTTCGAAGCAACATGCCATAGCTTGATTATTTGCACCAAAGAACTTCATGAGTACCTTCACAGACATTTCTTTCACTGCAGTAAAGCACCACCAGTGGATCTGCAGCTCTGGCAAGGGAGGAGCCAGTTTCTATGGTACTGAGTACTAACAGACCCCATGGCAAATGTTTGGCCTGAGCTGGTGGTTTGTTAGCAACATCCTTGAGAAATGCAGCGCGGTTTTATGTAAAAGCCCTTTTTATAAAGGGCTGCACTTTGCTCCAGATTTCTGTGACTACAAACCAAACATCACTGTCAGTCTGTGATCACTAGTTTGGATAAACTGTTTTCCTTTTTCCCCACTCATTCCTTTTTCCTTATTTTTGGATAAATCCTGGTTTCTCACAGTGTGTGTCTCATTTTTAATACAGATGCTGCTTGATCTGTTAAACTTATTCTTGAGAGAAGCCGATACATCAATGAGCACCCACTAATCAACCATCAGTCTTTTACCAGGCACCTTTCTGAAGTGTGTGGCATGACAGAGCTCCACGAAGCTGTGGCTGTGGGGGACTACGACCTGGTGCATGAGATTTTGAGGACAGGGCGCTGCGACCCGAATCACAAGGATGCTGACTGGCACGACAGGACCCCGCTGCACTGGGCTGCTGCAAAAGGTAAGGGTACCCCCTGCTCTGTTACCTCTGCAAACTGGCATCATAGGTGATGCTGATTGTAATTGCATCTCACTGTGGTGGCAGTTAATGCTGGTGGCAGTCACAGCTTGTATCTGATTGTTCTGTGCTTAATGAGCGAGAAAAAGGAAAATAAAAATGTAAATGGGAAGTTTGCCTCCAAAATAATTTATGGGATGGCCATCAAAGTGTTTTTTTAGGGCTTTTTCCATCATGTGAAAATTTAGCTTACATGATAGGTGCATATGGCATGTCTGCTTGTCCCCCACATTACTTTTCTAAGAGGTGTCTTCATACAGTGCAGAGGACTGATTTCTAATGTACATCTGCCTGAGTGAGCAGAAAGTCAACCCATGGTATTTGTACCAGGTATTTACCAAACCCAGTAGAACAAAATAATTACAGTGTGTTTTACATTGCCCTTCCTTTATCCCACCTGGTTGAACAAACAGCACAGGACCAGAACTGTTTGCAGCTCCCATTTGATATTTCACAGTCAGAAGTGTCTGTTAAAGTCAAATATGCCTTTGCAGTCCAAAAAAGAGATGAATGCAACAATATATAATGTGTAATTGTACACAGTGTCCTCCTCCATGCTAGGGCATCTGTTACACATTGGGATCTCACATCATGGCATCTGTCTCTGCTCAGAAATCAAGTATGTGATTTGCTGGTTTACATTTGACACCATGTTTTATTTTTGCCCTGGTGGATTATTACTTGTGTGAGCATCAGCAAAGGGAACTGGGCTGCTTAAGAAAATGGTGATGGGAGACTGGCATGGCTTGGTGCCATTGGGAACAATCTAGTTCAGTCAAGGCAGTGTGAAGCTGGGTAGAAATAACTTTTTTTCTTATTTAAGCAATTCCACAAGTTAGAAAAATGTGAAGGTGAATGAGAACAAGTAATTTCTCTACCTCCTATCAAACAAGCCTTTGTTTTAGTAAATATATTTACAGGTTTTCCAGGTTTTAATGTTTAAATTTTAGTTTGCATTAAACTAAAACCCCAAAGAAAACAATGAAATAGTCGGTAGCCAGGCGTTCCATGACCAATTGAGGTGCGCTGTTCAGAAATTAATAGAAATCTTTTTGATTGTATTGTTGTCTTGTTGCAAAATTATTCTGGAAGCAGTCTAGTTTGGGGGGAAAAAATCAGCATTTTCTAATGAGTATCATTTATTTGATAAATAATGTCCAGGTCATGAGTAAGATCCATCATTGCATGGTCAGGTATTATGATCAGCTGTGTGTGCATCTTCTCTCCCTGTTTTGCTGTCCAATGCAAGGGCAATCGGAGCTGGTCAAGCTCCTTGTGGATCACGGCGCCCGGCATTGCCTGCGAACTGAGGTGGGCTGGACTCCAGCTCACTTTGCTGCCGAGGCGGGCAGGCTGGGTGTGCTTCGCACCCTTCATTCCCTGCACGCTGCCATGGATGCGGCCGACCTCTTTGGTGACACTCCCAAGAGGCTTGCGGAAATCTACGGTCACCAAGACTGCTCCAGGTTCTTAGAAAGGTGAGTAGCCATGGTCAGTGCTGCTGCGGCAGCTGATGGGGCTTGTCACGAATCCCCACTGAGGATCCTGCTGACTACACCTGTAGGTCACAAATGAGTGGTTTAGGGTCACTCAAAGAATCACCGCCACAGGTATTAGCAAAAGTGGGTTTAATATTAACTTGTGAAAGTGTGACTTAACAAAGCTCAATGGCAAGGTTCACTGTAGTACTTGCTACGTGGAAGAAGTTGTTCCCTGTGAGGGCAGTGAGGCACTGGCACAGGTTGCCCAGAGAAGCTGTGGCTGCCCCATCCCTGGCAGTGTTTAAGGTCAGGCTGGACATGGCTTGGAGCAACCTGGTCTAGTGGAAGGTGTACCTGCAGGTGGCAGGGGGTTGGAACTGGGTGAGCTTTAAGGTCCCTTCTGACCCAAACCTTTCTGGGATTCTGTGATTCTATGACTCATGCAGCTGATGGAGGTAGAAAACTTGTCTCTCTGACCCACATGCTGGCCTCACTCACCCTTGTTTCTGCATGGCTCATCTAGGATCATGGCTGGAACAATTTAACAACTGGGAAGATGCTTTGAGTACCCATGCCTAGGACATTGTATAAGACACTTGAAGGCTGTGAGGCGATCTCACATAACACAGCCTGTGGGCAGCCAAGAGTTACCGCTGGGGCTCAGGAGCCCTTTTTTTTAAATCAAACCACTATAATTTGCAACCACAGTGAACACCTTCACCCTCATGCAGCAGTTTCACCTCCTCACGTCAGCAAACTTGGAGTTAATCAGGATGAATTACTGACATTTGTAGTATAATCACAATTACTTCTGCTCTTTCAGTTGTGCAGAACATCCCAGAGGTGATGCCCATGGTCAGGCAGCACTCTGTGGCTCCAGTGGGAGCTGGGCAATACTGATGGGCACTGCAGACACAAAATGAAGTGTGTGTGTGCACACTAATGCTGTGCAGCAGAGTAGGTCTGCCCTCTGCTCATAGTGTGCGTGTTACCAGTATGTAAATATGAGCGATATTTTGTTACAGAGTATCACCGTCGCTTTTGGATATTTGCCTCTCATGCAAAAAGAGAGAAAAGGCAATTTTTTAAAGTCTGAGGGTCTGTGCCAAATGCAGACGTGTATTATAACAGGGCTCTGAGCATTCAAATCCTTCCTAAACCCCGGTTCAGCTGCATCTAGCACCACCATGGTCCTTGCACGCTGTGTCTCTGACCCCAGGTGTGCCAGCTGCACATCAACATGGAAATATTACATGTATCGACATGTAAATATTATTAACATGCAAATATTAATAATATTTTGCTACAGAGTATCTGCCACTCACAGAGGTTTGCATGGGCATGCAAAGGACAGGAAACAGCCTTCAAAACATGGCCAATTCTGGATAACAAACACATGATTTGCATTAGGTTTTTTTGCATGAGAATGGCTTTACCCTGGATGCTGTGAGACCTGCTGAGGATGGGGCCAAGCTGTCACAGAGACGCTTCCTGTGCCTGCCACCAGCTCTCTGCAAAGTGCTGAGTGTTGAATGCACCTAAGGCCCCAGCTATTCTAAGTCCAAGGCATATATACATTCATAATATGTATGCACGTGTGTGTGTGTGTATACACCAAAATACATATATAAAAAAGTGCCCAGAAAGAGGTTTCTTGCCCTTGGTAGCAGATACTTTAGAACACAATACAATAGAATATAATACAATAGGATAGAATAGTTCAGCTGGAAGGGGCCTGCAATGATCATGTAGTCCAACTGCCTTAGCACTTCACGGGTGATCAAAAGTTAAAGCATGTATTAAGAGCATTGTCCAAATGCCTCTTAAACACCGTCAGACAATGGGGCATTGACCATCTTTCTCAAACATATGTGTGTATAGACAGAGTAAGCCAGTGCATCTCTGTAGAGCCATTGGCTTTGCTCCTTGCTTTCAGCCAGGACAGCATTGCACTGATGTGACAGAACTACTGTATTACAGAGAAAAGGATTTTTCCTGATATCTAGTGGTATTTCTGACAGAGCTTCATGAACACTGAGTACCTACAAACATCAGTCCTCCGCAGTAGGAGGAAAAGGTTTGTCTTCTTTTGGACAAGATTTACACTTAAGAGTACCCAGTGAAAGAGAACTAGTGACTTAAATCTTGGTGATAGACATGATCTTCAAAGATCCCTTCTGACGCAAATCATTCCATGATTCTGTGTTGTATGACTTGGAAGTGAAGATAGATGTACTTGTCATTTGGCAGTAAGAGTTTCTAGTACTTACACATGAGCAGTACAAAAAAAAAAACAAAATTGGGAACGTTGCAGTGAGTTAATATACCATGTACAGTTGCATTAAATGTGGTTAAGTCTATTTAAAACCACAGACATTCACAAGATCAGTCTTTGAGAGCTTTGATGGCTAAAATTATGATTCCGGTCCTGAAAGTTTAATCTTTGATCCTTACCAAGGGTTTTCCACTTCAACCCAACTCTCAGTGAGTACCTGATTGCATGGGGTGATGAATGCTGTTAAATTTGGGATGAACCTCGGTGTTTTCTTATGTATTGCTGGCAACGGTGTTGTGAACATACCAATACACGATGTAGATATGAGTGGTGGTGTGACTGTGCTGTGCCCAGTATTATACTGAAGATGATCTCTTGCTTTCTTCTCCAGAGCAGAGGTGGAGAGCAGAAACTATCGCAGGACAGCCACAATGAAAGGAATCCCATTAGACCAGGTTGATGAAGACTGGGAACTCAAGAAAGAAGCACTTAAGAGAAACCCACCATGTTCGTGGAAGAGCCATACATCCATTGCGCAAAAGAAAAGTCCCCAAAAAAGGGAGAAGCAGTAGTGTGCCCTGCCTATTTGGTGCCACTGACAACTTGCAGTGCAGAGCGAAAACCGTGGCAGACCTCAGGTGCACCTGCAGGGTGAAATATGGGTGAACAGAAGCAGATGGCCACCAGGATGCATCATAGAATCATAGAATAGTTAGGGTTGGAAAGGACATTAAGATCATCAAGTTCCAACCCCCTGTGATGTACTGTAAATACTCTTGTTCACAGTGAGCACATACAAGTGCCTCTTTCTCTCTGTGTGTCTGTATGTGTCAGATCTCAGAAAACTGCAGGGCATGTTTAAATACACTCTTATATTCAAATTCACTGAAATGTATAAATTTACAGAAATGACAGCAGTTTCTTGTAGTGTCCAAGAGGGAAATGGTTTTGCCCCTAAGTGATTAATGAAAGTAGCTGGGACTGTTCTGCTCACTCTGCTGATGTCCCTGGCCTTTGTTTATTTGCTCTCATCCTGAGTCACCAGGAGGCTTTGTAGGGGCTTGTAGCCTCTGGTGGTGCCTCTCACTTTGAGAGTGGGGTGTGGTTGTTTCTTCTGGCTAAAGGAGAGGGCTGATGTTGACCTTTTACTCTCGTTGCTGCTTTCAGACATGTATGGCTGCCAAGACAGTTAGAGCACTGCCTTATTTTTAGCAGTGCCCGCAGCCATTTTTATGTCTATGCTCATAGGAATGCTGTGGAGCTGGTCCTGAGCTGTCCCTCTGCACTTCAATACTCTTCATGGGAAAATACTTTTTAACTGTTTCACTTCTCAATCATAGAGTTTGGATTTGACCCAAAGCAGTTTTCCATTCCATGCCAGCAGTGGGCAGCCATTTGTTTTGACTTCTGATGTCTTTTATGTGTCTGCTTCGCCTGCTCGTTTATCTGCCTCCTTTCCCATCTGCTTCCCCTCCACTACCCAGACCTTGTGCTTCTGGAGTGCCTTGGTTACAGGTGTCCTTTGCACAGCACTTGAGCACTGCAGCTGTAACCAACAGTGCTGTGATCCATCCCCCTGTTCTGGATTTCCAGGGGTTAATTCAGCCATCTACGCAAAGGTGTCTAGGCCATGAGAGATGCTCTCAAGTACCCAGACTGACCCTGCAGTTCTACAGATCTTGTGCTGTAGCTCCCAACCCCATGCAGACATCTTGGGTACCCTAGGCATCCCAGATGAGTCAAGATGCCTATGGGAAAAAAAGTCAAGCTCCCAGCTTTGTCTTGATCTTAAGGTCATTTCCAACACTAACCATTTGATGATTCTATGATTTGTAATTCCCAAGCCATGTGAGACGTCAACTCCATTCACAGTTGGCCTAACTGTTGAACTGGTGACAGTGCAAGTGAAAGCACATGTTGGACAGATTACCTGTTGCCATACTGACAAACTAAACAGGGCTGTTTCTAGCCATGAGGCCAGCTGGTGAAGTGTCCTGGAGTTGAGGAACACTTTCCCTGGGGCTGGGCACATCACTGCATCACTCCAGAGAGCACCTTTAGCATATGGGCTGTGCACTGCAGCTGTGCTGTTTTATAACCTGTCTCCTCCAGTGCCAGCTGGGTGGGGCTGGATGCTGGAAGCTGGAGGGTGATGCTGCATTGTGCATGATGTTCACAAGGGGTTTATGGAGGTGAAAGAAGATATCTTCATCATGGCTTAATTGGGCTGCATTCTTTTTGTGAGATAACATCTGCAAGACGCTGGTTTTGCCTGCTGAGTTTTGTGACATGTGACGTTTTGAGGGATGATGTTGCATGTGTTGTAGGGAGTAAGATGGTCTTGTGATCTGTCACATTAAACGATCAACTGCCTTAGCAACAGAGGGAAAGAAGGGAGGTGTGGTAGTTCCTGCCCTTTAAAAAGGCCTTTAAAGCTGGAGATATGTCCGGATGATGTGTGTAAGATCTGCCTCTGTCTGGACACAGAGTGTTTCAACAGATTGAGTGGTGTAATGTCTCCTGCTGTCAAAGTGGGAGTCTGTAGAGCTTAGCATCTGATCTAAAAAGCACAGTTACAGCTAAAGGCAAACAGCTGTAGGCAGTGTCCTCTGAGTGTCTGATTTTGATCAGATGGATCAAAACCTTTGAACCCATCTTTATTACAGAACAAAACAAATGTAATTTTGGGGATTTTTTTTTTTCTTTACTGTTGCAGGAAAAGTCAGAAAAGAGTGAAAGCTGGTGATTTGAAAACAGCTCCTTGTACTTTCCTTTTAAGCTCTTCCCCTTTCATTCTTGTGGGGATGGAGAGAAAGAGGGAAGGGAATGGTCTTTGCTCACAGGTGGAAAAGCTCATGGGTCAAGATGAAGACAGGGAGATCACTCACCAGTTGCTGTCACGAGCAAAACAAACTTGACTTAGGAAAAATCAGTTTCATTTATTGCCAATTGAAAATAAATGTAGGATGATGAAGAACAAAGACAAAACCAAAACACATGACTTCCACACCCTCTTCTCAGCCTCACTCTTTCATTCCCAGCTTCTCTACCTCCTTCCCTCTAGCAGTGCAGGGGAATGGGGAATGGGGATTGCTATCAGTCCATAATTTATTGTCTTTTCCACTTCCTTCTCCTCAAGCTCTTCCCTTGTCCCAGCATGGGTCCTTCCCATGGGCTGCAGTCCTTCAGGATAAGCCTGCTCTGGTGTGAGCTCCCTACAGGTTTCAGTCCTTTGGGGCATCCCTCTGTCCCAGCGTGGGGTCCTCCATGGTCTGCAGGAGGATATCTGCTCCACCATGGACCTCTGTTTGGTGCAGGGGAATCTGGAGCACCTCCTTCCATACCTTCTGTGACCTTGTTTGCTGCAGGACTGTTTCTCATGATTTTCCTCACTCCTCACTGCTGGGCAGTGGTTTTCCCCTTCTTAAAGATATTTTCCCAGAGGCACCACCAGCACTGCTGATGGGCTGATCTGTGTCCTGCTGTGATGGGTCCATTGGAGCTGTATGGAGCTGGCTTTCCCTGGCATGGGGCAGCCTTGGCCTTGCCTCAGAGAGGCTCCCATGGACCCCACAACTGCCAGCACGTGGCACGAACACCTTGTACAACTGCAGTTGGGTCACTGCAAGAAGAAAGCTTGACTTCATCCGAGATCACACCTTGCACAAAACCCACTGTCCTCGGTGCTTTACTGCTCCAGAGTCCATTGGTAACTGAAGATATCATGAGAAGCAAAAAGCAGAGCAGGAGCGCAGTCACACGGAGAAGGGGAAATCATGTTTCCACATGAAGTGGGCAGAGAGAGGACACATAAGGCTGGTGTGGTAGGGGGGCTTTCCACCCCACCTGTCCACCCTGAGGCCATTTCTGCATTGCTAAAGCCAGTTAGCATCTCTGGTGAATAATAGTGATCAACATAGTCATGCTTATGTTATAAACCAATGCATGATAGTGATACAGCTCATATTGTTATGGACTGTGAAAGCAGAAATAAATGTAAAGCAACAAATAGATACAAACATGTTTAGTTCAGTAGTTTCAATCAGCAGATACCAAATTTTTAGGAGGTTTGCAGTAGAGTTATTCTACTTTTGCATCTAGCCCATGTACCAGGTCTGATTTACTTTGTTATTGACAATAATTTAACACAAAGAATTGTATAAATGATAATAGTAACTTATTTAACTCGGAATAATTGAAAGAATTGTAATGAAGCTTTCTTAACTTAGCTAGTGAAGGTAGAACATCTGTATCATCTACACTGACTGGAGAGTTGCATTAGAGATTAAATTACTTGCAGTTTATAACAAAATATCAACATTTTTAATGGGCTTCAGCTTCTATTACAGTTCCTACTTCTTGCAAACCTTGCACTTCACACAGGGCAGAGTCCTTAGCAGTGCATTTTTCAGTTTGGGATTGCTGAAAATCAGAGTAAGGGAATGAAGAGATGGAAAAGCATACTGGAATATGAAAATGAGAAATGACACAGTATTTTCCTTCTTTGTAGCATAAATCAGTGTCAAGATCAAACATATAAAATTAAAGCTGTAAATAATGAAGATGAACAGAATCGATTTTATGGCTTTGAAATAGGCATCCATGTTGAGTTCCTTCACTGAGTTGTTCTGCATCTTGCGTTTTTGTCTCCAGAGAGAAAAGATGAGCAGGACAGAAAAGATGACTGCCATGAATGCAGTGGCAAATCCAAAGCCGCTGATAAGAAAAACAGGAAAAAATTCTTCACTCATTCTGACTTCTATCTTCCAGAAGTTTTCTAGGGCGGTGGAATTGGGGTGGATACATCTTGCCTTATCAGTGATGTGGTAGACAGTGATGCAGACGACCAGAGACAAAAGCACTGAACCCAGCAACAGCCATGGCACAATCCTGTCAATTTTCACTTTCAGGTAGAGGAAGAAGGTGTACCTGAAATTGGCAACTTTTACGCAATAAAAAACACACTGACAGGCAGAAACCCACAAGTTGGAAGAATTTAAAAAGCTTTGAACCGCTACAACTACCTGGGGTATGGGGTGAACATAAAAGTATGTGGGATAAAATATTGCGAGAAGGCAATACACCCATGTGACAATCAAATACGCAAACCTTGAGCATCCTAGAAACAGCAAGACCTTCTCATTAGAGTTAAAGCTTTTCTTTTTGACCCAAGAAATACAAATCACAGAAATGATGAAAGCATTTATCCACATGCCAGCAAGTGCCTGAAATGTGATGATGACAATAGCCAGAGCATCGTATGAAGTGACATTGAATTCTTCTTGAGAGTAGCACAAATTCATCCTCCAAGATGGATGGTGACACTCTGCTGGAAAAGTAGGTTGTTGCACCAGTGCTTAGTGCAGGTTAGCAGCTGCTGTTCTATGAATGTCATGTGGGGGAGCTTTATAGAGCAGCGAGGAGGGCTGGGATTTTGGTGTTGCTCCTGTTCAGAGCAGGGCAGGTGCAGGAATGTAAATGTGCTGGGTATTCCCTTACCTGGCATCAGTGTCAGTCTTCAGTATTTGAATTTCAGTTGACAAGAGCTGTGCTGGATAGCACAAACAATGTAGATGTTTTTCTGCAATGGGCAGTGTTGTGATTTAGTGACTGTCCCATGTTTGAACACTGCCAAGATTCACGATCTGTGTTCTTCTGTCCCTTTGTCGCTTGTGATGCTTGTGTTGAG